ATTTTTATAGCAATGAACGAAAGATGAACCAAGTTTCGTTTTAAATAAACAAATATGTTGCGGATATTAAATATGGATTATGGAATGTTTGCAAATAAAATTATAGAGTTTTTCTATATTTCTAACAGATATAGTTAACAAAGATATAACTTTATAGCGAAAACTTATTTAAAAATTATTTTAATGAAAGTTCAAAAAAAGATAGAACTACGCGAAAAAAATAATGAATTATTAAAATATCTATTGAATAAAATTTAATTTTAATTTAATTAAATTAATTTAAAATTACGAATTGTTTTACACTCAGTGGGAAAAGTATTAAAATTGTAAATAAATAAAATGAAAAATAGATTTTCCTATTAATTAAAGTATTTATAATACATTCAATAATAAAAAAAAATAATTTTAATTTTAACTTAACATATTTCATTTTAATAAATATTTTCTGGCTCATGAGAAAATTGAAAAGAAGTAATATAAGTGAAAGAAAAAATAAATTAATTAATTATGAATAAATATATAAAAAAAAATATATATATATATAAAATTATAATTTTACTCAATTTAAGCACTTTTACAGAATTTATTCAAAATAAAGAAAAATTTTATAGAGTGAAAAAAAGCCTGTCCTATAGTTGATAATAATATATAATTTATAATCATTTTAATTCTTGTAATTTTTCTTTTGCTATATCTATACAATATATATAGACATTTAGAACAGCCTCACATAAAAATAGTATAATCATTTTAGAGCTGTGACAAATTGGTTCAAACTTATCGTCCAAAGTAGAGATAAAATCAATTAGCAGTTAAATCAATGTTAACAATTGGAGCACATCTCATTGGGCCAAACATCACTCATGTTTGCAAATAGACAGGTCAATGCAGGCCTCCATTAAAGAGGCACTTGACAGTTTCTTGTCAGGCCCATTGAGGCTTACCTGGATTGGAAAGCTAAGAATTACTAAGCTAGATTGCTTTTGAATCGTAGAGAAGTATTCTTTTGGGCAACATTAGTGCTACGATAGAAAATAGCTGACAGAGAGACAGAGGAAGACTCCTCAACATTCTTTTATTTCTTCAATTCATATGAAAAGTAACTTATATTCATTCCTTAACTAACTCTTTGTTATATTTTCTCCAAAAGATAAGCAATATGTGAGCCCTGTATGATTGTTGCGAGTTGAGAGTTGAGACTAGCACATAACGGTTATTTGCCACCTAAAGTGCTGTTTCATTCTTTTTACGATTGGATTGCTGGCTGAAATGCGATTCGCATATGCCTGAGATTGTGGTAATTGTCATATAATAAAAGTCAGAGAACCCCAGCGACATGTGATGAGCGACAAAAGCCAACGCCACTTGAGCAGTTGAACTTTCCACCCCACAGAAAGGGGCATTAGCTCCAATAGTTCAGAGTCTCCCTGAAAGGCAAAAAAGCAAATAAGAGAACTCTAGATGGGAATGCGTGACTAGGGAATACCCTGGCGGGTGGCTTGTATTACAACTATTTAATTTTGTCTGTGATGAAGGCTTAAACAGAATATTTCGAAACATTTAGCACACTTAAATCAGTTCATAGTCAAATGTCAAATCTTATTGAATTTGTATACAGCCAAATGTTATCGATAACTTAAAGAGCTATCGAACTATAGCCATCGAAAATAGTATCACTCTTGCTTGGGCAGCTCATAAGTTCCAAGCTCAGATGGAGAGCAATATAGATCTAGTGCAATTCTTTAAGAGATCACCCTACTGCCTGTTACATACATTTAAATAAATAATAAATATAAAACCCTATTTTGTAATCTGCACAGGGTATGTGGAAAAAAACTGAGTCAGCTTCATGTCGGCAGCTTTATCTTAGCTCGAAATGCCTGCAAACATTAGATGTAGGTTTCAGTGTGCGCGTAATTATTGGACCCAGTGTCATGTTTAACCCGCTCGTAAATTATAGAGATCCTTATAGCTAATATGTAATTTATGGCCAGGCTCAAAATAATAAAAAAAAGAGAACAGTTACATTTTACACACACGTAAAACAAATGCGCCGGATTTGGCGTACATTAGCCGCAGGAAAGGACCGAAAGACGTATTTTGTGGTCAGCAATGGCAGCATTTAGTGGTGTTGACCTTTGGCTATGCTTTGGGTAAGGGACACACCACACACGCAAAGACCCACATCAGTGCAGGCCAGGCAACCTAACCTTTTTTTTACACAATCTAATTACTGTGGCCGCCGTAAGCTAAGGTGGCTGGCTGCCAGCGAGACTTTAAAGTCGCAACTGTGGCTGCACTTTAAATAATCCATTAGCGATTACAGAATTTGACATTGGCTAGAGAGCTGGGCGCTGTGCAACAAAAGGGCTTAAAAGCTAAAACCTGTTGAGTCGTTTCTCAATTCCCCAAACACTTGCCAAACTAAAGCCAAAGCCATAGCCCAACCCCTTCAATCCAGCCCAACATCTTAGACAGGCAACTCCTCGGCACAGATTATGGCTTCTTTGAATAACAATCGATGGCGCGACAATGGCTCAAGCCATCGATGATGTAGATGTAGATGGCAATGCAAATGGCAAATGGCAAAATGGAAGTGGCTGCTACTCCTGCTGCTGCTTTTCCTGCTCCTGCTCCTGCTCCTGCTACTGCCTCTGTATTGAGTATCCTTATTGTCTTGACATTTTATGACTGTCTGGCAGCTTTTTTCCCACTTTTTCCAAGTGATTCCAGCACTGTGTTTTCTATCCTTCATGCGCTATAAATTGTGTATACCAACGACTCAAGGACAAAGTCAACAGACAAAAAACGAGCTGAGATTGAATTTGCATTCAATATTCAAAGATATATAACTAATAGAATTTTTTTAACTAAAATACATATACCTCTAGGTACAATATATATATATATTTTTTTTATAATTAATGTTTTTAACAATTTTTTATAAGCTAAAGACTTGTTCCATCAGCTTAAGTAGACACAGCGTGATTAATGAAGTTATTCAATCGACAACAAGTTTCATCGAGATCAGCTCAGCTTGTTTTAAATTAATTAATCTATATAATATAAAGCATATTAATTAATGCTGTCAATTTAAAGTTGAGTAACTCTCAAAAAAACACCCTTTACTTGATCAATTCAGCTGCACGATTCAATATATGCAAAACAGAATTTATTTTGCTTTAAAAACTATCATTAAATTTCCTAGAAACAAAAAAAAGTTAAGTATTTGAATAGATCACTGCTTACTGATTGTAAATAAGAGATATATATAAGTAAGAGATATCTATAAAAATGTACAAATTCGTCATCTTTTGTTTTTATAGATTTGTGATATTGCGTAGTTAAGTGTAATATATTATCATTATAAAATTTATGAAACTTTAGCGCCTGGCATATTACGTTCTAAGCGCAATTGTTGCTTAATAAATTTTTGGACTTCTATTATGTCTTTGCTGACAAGTTAATGACTATAATAAGTAAAAATTATTATGAGCGCCTAAGTGGTTATTAAAGATGCTTTACCTAAGCTTAGCTTAAGATAATGTCTTACTATAAAAGCGAATATTAAATTAAGGCTAAGAGGCGAAACTGTCTAATAGTCATTTCCTTGGGTGCATGAAGAAAACTTCATAAACAAATATAAAAATACAATTGAATTAGCTAAAAGGCGGTTATATTTTTTCTATATATTTTTTTATTTTTATACTTTTTTTTTGTCGAATACACGAGCTGCTGATCAACAATGTGCATGTCAAATCGCCGCTGACTTCGCCAATAATCATAAATAATTCCATTACAATAATTAGTAATGCATACTTAATGGTGCCTCAAATCAAATAATCGACGAAGTATCCGAGTATCTTTAACAGATATATATGTATATATAAAGAGGCAAGTGCGAGGGGCAAGGGGCAAGGCGCATGACGGAGATAAAGTCTACGTCTGAGGTCGCCGCTAAACCAAACAAATTAATCAATGAGGTAATCACAATTTATTCTATAAAATGATCAAGTTATGTAGCTGCCAACTGTTAGTTCTGCCCCAACAATTATTGCTGTTGTTGTTTTTAGTATTGGAGATGACTTCTGGCTGGCGTCTCTTTGTGTTTGCCCACGGTGTGACCCACTGTGCGAACGATCGTTGCCTCTGGGATGACAAAACAAAACAAAATAAAAACGTCTATATAAAAAATGTTAAAAATTTTAACGACTTCGCTAAGAGCTCGAAGCATAGATACACTGCTCTAAACATAAGTAACTTAAATATTACTAATACCAAATATATAAATAACAAAGCTTTCAGTTGCCATACAAAATGTTATTTATTTCTCAGTTTATAAATCAAATTAAACAGGAATTTAGTTTATGGTTAACAATTTAAAACCGAATTTAGCTCTGAGAAATATTTTGAGTCTGAGTCTTAATTCTTATTTAATTTTATTTAATAAAAAAAATTTATATTTTATTTTATTTTTAATTTTAAGTAGTTTTATAATTTGTTTTCCATTTTAAATTTAATCTTCAAAGTACAAGTTTATGCCAACAGTTTTTTTATTTAAAAATTAAACTTTGATCAGTTTCATGTTCAACAAAATCTGAAATTTTATTGTGCATTATATAAATTGTATTTTATACATAAGTCGCGTTTGTATAGAAAAGCAAACAAGGAAAGAAACATTCAATTGTTCATGCCTAATTACGAACTAATTTTTTGGCGTCTCAAATTTAATGAGCTATCGCATAGACTTGCGAATCGACGCGTATTCGCCAGGTGAGTAAAAAAACTAACATTCTTCAATTCTACACAAATTTGGCTCATAATTTGTTCTGGCTGGCTCATAGCTCGAACAACAAAAGGCCACTTCATTATGAGAATATCTATAACAGGTGGGATAAGCGGGCAGGTGGTGGGGCAAGGGGCTAAGGGCAAGATCGACAGCTGCTGAAAAGCTTACAGCGTTGGTGGCAGCAGCGATCAGAGCTCAGTCGTGAAACGGCAGCATTTAACTAAAGTCGCAAACACGCAGTGGTAGCCAGATCGCAGCTGGAAGCATAACCAGAAACAAGTCAAGTAGACGTAGTATTCGATTCGATTCTGTTCTGCGGTTTACACGATGTTTGGCAGCCGACGACATTTGGTAATTTATTGGCATGGGTCTATGGGCTGTGCTGTGTGTCGAAATGGGGATTTGTTTGATGTTTTTTGTTTGCTTGCAACTCTTTGCAGTTGCTGCTCGTGTGCCTAAGTGCGCTGTTCTGCCTCAGCTTGGCCGAGCTGGCAGAGACGGAGGTCATCAAGGACGATGTCATTGAGATAGCGAATAAGACGCAAAAGGTCATCAGGGTCAGTCCGCTGGAGCTGCCGTCGAAAGAGGATCGCACTCCTGGCAGCCACATGAACTCAGAACTGTTTCAGATCCAGACACTGCAAAGAGGCGCAAAGCATCCGCGTCAGCGTCTCTATATGGACTCAAGGCGCATGCGGTCAAGGCCGAGGATCAGTGAATCCAGTGGTGAAGCAATGCAGCCCGCTTTGAAATTCTCGTACACGCCCGAACTAAAAGCCTTTCCCAAGCAGAAGCCGAAAAAAAAGCAGCAGAAGCAGCTGCACTACCCACTCGAGCCTAGCCCAACCACTGTCGTGGAGCCGCTGCCCGTTCAGATGACGCCCGGCCCCTATCCCATCTACTATGTGCTGTCCAAGACGAACGGCCGCTTTGGCAAATTCCCCATCAAGTCCTTCCGCTCGCCCGCCGAATTCGCCAAGTACTTGATCAAGAGCAAAGCTGAGCCCATACCCCGAACGCAGCGCTTCGAGGCGGGAGACGATCAAGGCAAAGTAATTGGTAGTCGGTAGCTTTACTGCTTTTTGTGATTTGCACGCGCGCTTTGTATGCTTAGTTAAATTAAATTATTCACCATAATTATAATTGCTAATTACCACACTACACACACATATATCTATCGCTTTATAATTACTCAAAAAACGTATTAAGTATGTACATAAGTTTTGCCTGAAGTGCCCAACCCATTGTACATGCACAAGTATCTCAAAAATAAACTCAAATTGCTACATATCTCGACTGATCCGTACACGATCTCCTACTATAATAACTGTCTGAGCTTACCGTCAAGTTGGCCTTGGCTCCCAAGTCTGGCAGCTGTTGACAGACGCCCAACAGGCCAATATCTATCTTAGGCCTGACTCATCGACGGAATCAGTTAATTGTCGACGATTCTTCATTTCTTGCCTCGTAATTACAGAGAACACTCTTGTTGTTGTTTGTTTTTGTTATTGTTGCTGTTGTTGTTGTGGTTGTTGTCGCCTATCGTATGCAAATTTGGAATCATAGCATTTGATATGCTGTATAATTAAAGAGACAAATTCGAATATGGTTATTCATATGGGTAAGTTCGTATTTACATAACTTTGGCCATGTAGCTTCCATACAACAATAGATACAATTTGATTTATTGACAGCATCTTCCACGTCTTCGCCGATTCTGGGACGACAAAAATTAATGATCTGCTTTCTTAGGCATCAAAGAGAAGATAGAAAAAGATTTTGCAGCTCTGTTACGGTTCGCCAACTTTCTCCAAATGCTTAGAATTAGAATCATTTAGCATAGCGACATGAAATACTTAAGCTTCTTTCTTTGTTTCGTGAAATGTTCATCTTAAGATTGCCTCAGATTGCTTCTGCGATAGAATAGAAAACATATTTCCAGAGAGAAAGAAAACCAATTAAAACTTCAAGATTTTATTTCAAGTCATGTAAAATACGAAAACATGTTTTATTTATATATTTTGTTTATCTTTTCGCATATGTTTTATATATTTTTAATGGAAAATCTTTTTTATATGAGAAGTGATGCATGGCAGATAAGAAATTGATTTGAATTGTGTGACTTCTCACAAAATATACATTTCCCTTCAGGCTTCATAAGATAAATATAAAAAGTTTGTGATAATAAATAAAAGAAGAGAACAAGACTCTTATAAACATTGTCCATTTTGTCAAACAGTTTTAACTGAATTGACACAAACACTGAATTCTAATAGAATTTTTACCTGCAAGGCAAATTAAGCTAGTTGCAAAAAAATTTCTGGAACAAATTTTTAGCCTAAATAACAAATAGCCTAAAACAACAAAATTTTTGAAGAAACTATTATTAACATTTCAAACCAATTTTAAACTTTATATAAAATGCAAACTAATCGCGTTTGATTTCTAAAATTAATTTCTTAATGACACTTCAATCTAAAAAAATTATACTTTGTGACTTGATTTATGTTTGTGACGAAGCAGCAGAAGCTATTGAAAGTATCTTTTGAAAGTCTGAATGTATTGAAAATGGACAAAATGAGTTTTATCCCTTAGGCAAAATCATATAATTTGATATATTCTTGAGAGAACTGAATAGCATGAGGTGTCGCCATGTTGATCGGTTTGTTCAACCGTCCATCCAGCTCCAGATCGTCCAATTGTTACAAAAGTAGAACAAGATTTTAACTTTATTGTTTTTTTAAGCTCTCAATAAATTTTTTGTGTATATAAAATAAAATATATATATTATATATAATATATAATATATAATATATAATATATAATATATAATATATAATATATAATATATAATATATAATATATAATATATAATATATAATATATAATATAAAATATATGAATAATACAATAAATATATATTTAATGCACATGTATTCGAAAGCAATAATTAAATATTTTGCTTAACTCTTACATTATAAATGTTAGAGCTACAAAATTTGATAATGTATTGTGGATCCCCTAAAATTTTCATATTATTTCGACCTTTACTAGTCGTCACTTTTATTCTATAAATTATAATACTAAAAGTAGCCATGGAAACATAAAGTGCCCATAAAAGCGGCTTAATAAAAGTTTAATTAGAAAACAAATGTTACGACAACAGATAGAGTAAATGAATAGGTGCTTAGTCATCTATAATGAATTAAAATCGCTTGATAAGACTGGGTAAAAGTATCTAATTCTATGCTAATAGTTAACTCGAGAGATATTATAAATGACTAACTGGCAGAACAAGTATCTATCTCAAGCCAAGTCACACGATGAGCAAATAATTTGCTTTAATTGGAAATCACACGTGCAATTTTATCGACACACTTCAATCAAGCACGCCACGCCCGTGAAATTATTAATTGCGGCGTGCCGTCCCACACGACGGCCAAGCGCCAAGCCGAAGGACGAGCCAAATCACAAGCCCAACCACTAAAAATTGATGCTCTCGTAATAATTATGATAATGTGGGTGGGGAAACCGCATAAATGTGGACAGTGGAGGGAGCGGGCTCAATAACACTTGCTGCTTGGTTGCCATCTCTATCTCTCTCTCCCCCTCACCCTCCCTCTCTCACTTTCTCTCTGGCTGCTAACTGCGATGGGTTAATCATTTCTTGGGCTTTTTCTCATTACTTTTGCTCATTTCGACATTTCATTTCACTTCGTTTCAGTCTATGTATGTAGTCTCATATATATGTATGTGGGCGAATGTGTAATGAACTCTGGCAGCACGAATTGCTTGTGTGCAAACACCCACACACACACACACACACACACATGGGAGGCATGACGAACAAAGTGTGATATTCGAAATTTCCCAAAGGATTCAACGCCATATTTTAGTCACGAAAAAAGATTCGCGTGCTGGAAAAGTTCAAGCACAAAAACTTGGCAGCACCAAGAATGAAAGAAATGGAGCAAAAGTTGATTCCACGCCAAAATGGGGAAGGCATGACTGACTGCCTGGCTGGCTGGCTGGTTATAATCAAGCGTAAAAATGCGAAATTAATCAACTTCAGCAGCGTCTGCTTCTCAAGTTAACAACGCAGAAAAAATTGAATTAAAACTTTTGCAGCGACTGCCAATCCAGAATCCTGCACCCTTTCTAACACATACAAAAGAAAAAACAAAAAAAACTCCGTCAAGAAATTTAGCTTGGGGTTTCACTTGGAGAGCGGCTGCTGCTGTTATTCAATTATGTATTTGCGCTTGTCCTGCAGTAAAAATTACAATCTACACGACAAGTCAACAAAATTATGAACACTCCTGGGCAGTAAAAAGTAAATAAAATTCACTCCCGACCAGCAGAAAGGCAACAAAAATCAACTAACCTTGTTGCTATTGGGAGTACCTGACTGCAAAATACTCGTTCATACCTTATACTCTATACTCTATACTCTATACTCTATACTCTATACTCTATACTCTATACTCTATACTCTATACTCTATACTCTATACTCTATACTCTATACTCTATACTCTATACTCTATACTCTATACTCTATACTCTATACTCTATACTCTATACTCTATACTCTATACTCTATACTCTATACTCTATACTCTATACTCTATATAAAACCAATACACCCCCGTTTACTCCATGAGCGAGCATAAGAAAAAAAGGCGAAACTTTTCTCTGTGCGACGCATCGCGGACAAATTTTTTCCCATTTGATTTTGGGTGTATTTCTTGTGCTCTTTGCCGTTGTGTTTCCAGTTTTCCAGAGCTGTGCGGTAATTGCAACTGCCGCTGTCCTGTGGGAAATGTGAAACAATAAATGAAAATAAATGAATTTTTGTTAGCCACCTGCCCACAAGAGCGGCCGCAGCTCGAGGCCAAAAACCTCGGCTGGCCGTAGCCTGACTAAATGCCCAAATGCCCAAAATGCCATGAAAGAAGTCCAGAAATTGCATTAATAAAACCATAATACAGCCAAATTTGATTCAATAGAGCAACGTCGAGCTTAGCCATAGCGAGTCTAGGCCCATCCGCTGTCCACTTAATCAAGTACATTTATCTAGAAGACATTTGCGACAGGAGCCAAGTGTAAATGGGAAATTTGTGACCCTTTTCCAATATCGTTTTATTTCGCCTTTAAATATCGAAATAACCAGACACTGAGACGATTTCGTGAAAGTCGAAAGCCATTTTATCAAAAATTAATGTTTAGTTTGAACATTTTGTGACATTATGCGAGCGTCAGACGGGTTAAATGTTGACTCCAACCACGACGGAAGTGCGAAGGGTCGCACTGCACAGTGGTACGCGATGCACAATTGCGTTTGCATAAAATTGAAATGCGATGAAGTACTCTATGAAATATTGTCAAATAAATAATAAAAATAAATAAATAATAAAAAAAAAATAAAATAAATAAATGTGCTTAAATTTTAGCACAAAAAAATAGAGCTTAGACTTGATAGTCAAATACATTTTAATACATAGTCAAATACATTAAAAAATTTTGCAGAGAGATAAATTTTAAAATTATTTCTTATAACTTATAAATATTTAAAAAAATTTTTTTGTTAGTTTTTTTTAGTTTTTAATAATAATAATTATTTTGAAATATATACATTTGTTTTTTTTTTGTATGTAAAACAAAACAAAACAATTTTTTGCCTTAACTAATTAAAAACAAATGGAAATAAAATAAAAATTCTAAATAAAAAAAAACAATTATGGTTGTCCTTATAAATTTAAATATATGGAAGTAATATTCTATTGGCTGAAGACTTAGCTATATAAAAGAATTTGATCATACCTTAACACTATATTTGACCGTTATTCAAATAATATTTATATTATTTATAAGATATAAATGACAAATCAGATACCTACGTTTGTTGTGTCCTAAAATGTTTTTAATGTAGAATTATATTTATATTTAATTTAAATTTAATTTATATTTATCTTTATATTTAAATTGATTAAAATTGTAGGCACATTTTACCTTAATATATCTTGTACCACTGTAACGTACTTGGCTCTTATAGGCAGCGAAAAACTTAAAGCCATAAAAACTGCGCCCTCATGTCCTCGAGACGTTGTTACTGACAGCTCCGTTGGCTCCGTTGGCCACCGAGTAGAAGAACGGAAAGTCGCAAGTTGAAAGTTTGTGACGTCTCCGCAAAGGTGACCCGGACAGGAGTCACCGCCGGACGGGGGGCTGCTTAAATATTAATGCGACCCCAGAGCCAGGGGGCAGGCCAT